CGATTCAGGATTTGACTCCTGGACCGCGCGCGTGGTAAGCCTTCCGCTTGCCACGACACCACCATCGCCGTGCAGGCCATATCACCTACAAAATGCCACTACAATTTCGACTGAAAGTAGAGTGTGTGCTGCTTCCTGGAAAGGGATTGGTCAATTAAGCGAAGATTGGTCCTTTCTATGATCAAGTTGTTTTCTGGAGAATGTTTCCAGCCACCTTCGGAAATCACAGTTGAAGTATGTACTTCCACTAGTTTCGGCATATCTAAAGAAACCCTGCATTTGAGCTGTCGAGCGCTGGCCGCAATATGGCAACTACCAACTGATTCTGTCATCGTATAGGTGGATAGTTACAGAACTATCACGTAAGGATTCGCCTTTTTTCGCGAAAGAACTTGTCAGCCCCCTTTTAGTCTGTGCGATATGAGCTTACAAGGGAGGTCGTTCAGGGCGTGGTGAGCTTTTTCAAAATGGTCTTGTGCATATTGTAGGGGCACATACGAGGACCAGAAAACTGAGGTTCATTTTCGCTGCGCGCTTCTACGAATAAAAAAAAACGTAAAAAATAGGTCGATGGTTCGGATCCCACCGAGGACAAAATTTTGCTTTTCTACAGTTTTTCATTTTTTGGATCCATGTTTGTCTAAATAATTGGTCCTAACAAAAACATTCACGATAAACTGAACAATCCTACTTTTATGGAGCAAAACTGCTTTTTCGTTCGAATTCGTTTGTATGCACAGACTCAGCTCTTCGGCGCTATGCCGGTGCCAGATGGCACTGGAACCGAAAATAAAGTCTAGAATCGTGATCAGGACTGTCGATTACCCCTAGGAGCAAGTTTTGAGCAAAAAAATTTTTTTGACTTTTTCGGGTTGTAGGTGACCATTTGGTCGGCAGTGTGAGCGGAGTCTCACATCTTCGTAACAGCGATGCGTATCGTTGACGCTACGGACCCCGGACAACCCAATAAGCAAACCCAGAAAGGTCAAAACAATTGTTTCGACCGAAAATTCGTTTTTAGGTAATCAGTGGCCTGATCACAAATATAACACCTATTCTTGGCGTCCACGCAATTTGGCGACAGAATAGCGCTGAACGTTCCCTACATGGGTGTACATAACGAATTCAGTGGAAAGAAGATGTGGCCCCAAATTGTCTATAATTGACACCACACCAGAAGTTACTAAATTCGCAATCAGATCCACTGTATAGCCTATGAGGATCAACGTCCAGCAACAATCTTGTTCAATGGTGCGTGAAAATTGGAAATAGTTGGGTAGCACTGACTCATGAGGTATAGCTACTCAGAATGTGCCCATAAATGGCAAATATCCGAGTTATCTTCATGCGCAGACACGAATGGAAGTGAGAACAGCGAAATCTGAAAAATGCAAAAAGCCGCACGCAAGGGGGCCGAAGCCATCAACCCCACCACTATGCACCGATGCGTAGACCTCCTAAACTCTATCCACCAGGCCATCCGATGCTCAACTCTGCGCGGCGCTCTAATCTTGATGAAACTACTGCAAGAAGCCGTTCACCCTTGAGCACGTGACTCAAGTTGGAAGCTCACTTGCGGCGATTTTTCGCTTCGATTCAAATAGCCCCCTTATAAGGACCCCCCACTCAGCAACTGGTCAAAGTTGCAAGTGACCTACGCCGTATAGAGGCCCAGAGCGAAGCAGATTCCAAAGATTTCTTTTCACTCGTTTTTTACCTTTCCTGGAAGCGCGCAGCGAAAATGAAGCACACTTTTCAGGTCCTTGCACGAGCCCCTACAATATGCAAAGAACCGTTTTTGAAAAGCTCACCACGCCCTGAACGACCTCCCTTGTTAGTGATGGATTCCAGCAAAGAATCGTTTTCACTCGCTGAGAAATTCTGTCAACAGCAGCCGTGAATGTTGACAGACGATTTGTGCCTCGAAACCCCCGCGACAGCTCGCCCTCTGTTTGTTTCCTGACCAACGCTTCTGTCATTTGATGAGCTTGACCGGAGATGAGGTTGCAGTCTCAGCCTAGATCAGCTGCTGTTAATAGCAAATTGTGGTTGACCCGATGCTCACGAACTAGAGCCTCGTCATCGTGACGTAGACCAAGGCTCGAACATTTTGGCGCTTGTAGGTGAAAGGGGAGGGCAAAGGTGATGAGGGTGAGGAATCTGAAGGAGTTTCCACGCAGAACTGCCCCAAGACCACCTGTCAAATCCTGGCTATTTCAGCTATATTGTCTTAGTAGCATGCCATTGCAGTTTAGCAATTGCAGCCAGCACATCTACGCGTGCAGTGAATAAATAATAAATAAGTGGTTAAATAAATAGATAAGTAAAAAACAAAATATTTGTTTGTAATCCAGTGTGTCTAAATAGCGCTACAGTACTTGAAGTTGATTCACTCACAGTGCACATCGTTGGCCGATTTTGTCAAGGTCCGTACAACCCCGAAGATTTTCCTACTTTTCCCCCAAAATTTCGCTGCCAAACGGAGGGGAAGGGATTTTCTCAGACCAAATACGACCGCTCCCCTCAAATCCAAGCAATGATGTGCCCTGTCATCCGCCCCGAAGCTCCTCCAATTTTGAGGATTAGACAAGAGCCCTCGTCTCCATTAATTAACTTTAGATTTACACATGGAGTCGTTTGAACTTTATGTGCTACTCAACCCCTCTTCGGGTTTTAGCATCAATGTGGTGAAATAGACGGCATAATAAAAAAAATGTCTTGCTCCACCGTAGATACCCACATTCCCTGTAGACGCGGTAGCGTGCTGCGTTCATTTGAAACAGGTAGGATATGTTGTTTGCGGGATTCAAACTGGAACAACTGTCATTTTTTTCTTGTGCTATACAGCGACATTATCAAAATTGCCCAAAAAGAAACTATTTCATCAAAAGAGCAGCCGGCGCCACTTCCAAATGGAGTATCCAGCCACATCTCCCGCATGCCAAAGGGGTGTACTTGCGGTCCCCTGAACTTACTCAATGCCGTTGAATGGTTGGTCGCTGAATGTATTTGGTCTATACTACGCGGCTTCTTTTCGGCTAATGGTAAATAAGAAATCAGAAGCTGGACAATCAGCTACACTGTTCGGCAAACTCACTGAAATACTCTGAACGGTCACATATTCCAATTTCTTCAGTTTTTCAGCATCGGAGCCGAGCATCTTTTTATGGCTTCATTATGTACGCTTTATGCATTCAATTTTCAGAAAGTCGCAACTTATTCATTCGTGGCGAAAACAGGGTTGTGTCACAACGATGGAGGCCCTGTTTTTCATCAACAACGATAGAACGGAAGTTTTGGCTGGGGTCGTATTATCCCGTTCAGTATGCTGAAGGTAGAGCACTAACATTGAGGCACAGGGCACATCATCGTTGGGGATTACCCAACAGAGAGTCGTATTTGGTCACGGGGGGAGGGGTGTCGTACTTGGTCTGGAAGAATATCTTTGATGGTTGTTTTTGTTCGTTTCACGGACGCCATAAGATGGAAGGTTAGTATTTGCTCGTTGTTGGGAGGGGGGAGGTCATATTTGCCTTCTGAGAGAAATTTGCAGCGTTGGGAGATATTTTTCCTGCTTGTAGAGTTTTCGCGGTTCCCTCTTTATCTATTGCTGTTATCTACCTTCCCCCTCCTCGCACCTCCCCCCCCCAGCTCAAAATTCTATGGAAAGAGTTGGAACATTTTCGGGACACTCCTGAAAAAAGTGGTATGGGATCGGGAATCCTATGAAAGTGGTATGCAGGATGGGGAAGTGGTGGCCAACCAGCGATCCCACCCCTGGGGGTTCTGCGCTAGTCTCTGGTGATGAACTCCCTAAATTTCTCATGAGCTGGGTCCTGCAAGTCGTTGCTTTTTTCGCTGCATAAGTGCTGCAGTATTATTGTTTCGATTATATAGACCTCCTTCTCTGAGGGTCCTTCCCAAGGTAACAGGTGAATTTTTGAAATGGCGAAGGGTGGGGCAATGAACCTGTTCACGATTTTTACTCCAGGATTACTGTCGTTTTTACCTCGTCGGACTTGGTCAATTGGTACAAGACTTGCCTTTCAAAATAAGAGCCCTATATGAAGGCCCTGCAAGACACTGTCAGGGCCGAATCGCATTGAACGACTCTTTGGATCCTAAGTGGCCTTAGAATGAGTAAAAACTACCAAAACAGGTGTTGGGTGGGAGTAGGAGAATTACCCCTGGATTCTGTTTTTGCGGCACAAATAATTCATTGAGGATGTGTCCTGTATGTATTGCTTTGGGATATCGACTTGAGTGGGAGCAATAGTGTCCAGACATCGCGGTGTTTAATCGCTGGAAAATGTCATTCAAAATAAAATCAGAGCTGCACCACGAACAAAACAAAAGTGCGCTGAAATTTCAGTGAACTCTGGTGTATAGTTTTTGTAATTTATCCCACGTGATTACCGACTGATTACTGTTTAGCAGCAAGAGAACGCTGACACTGTTTCACTTTCTACATCGAGCAATTCATTGCTGTCAAGGGAACATTACTGCCTTTGAGGATGACCAAGTTGTTAAAACGTCACACATAGCCAACTTTACCCATTGAAAAGCCTATATCGGCTCTAGAAAAATGATGATATGGAGGACACACCTCAGATTTCAGCTAAAAAATTGAAGGATTTCACTAACTCACAACATTACTGATTTTCCCTCTTCTCAAGAGGCCATCTAAATGCAGCATTTCTAATTAGTCGGGTCGGGCGCCGATGTCAAGACCTGAAGTGTTACACACTTTGAGAAATGGGGAAGTATTCTCGGGTGTGGGCTTAGCGCATGAACGCGTTTGTTACGATCAATACCTTTCGGTTCCATTATTAAGGCAAACGTCGTTTGGGTGATTTCGTCGTTTTGAATGAAAAACAAGACGCCAGAAAAGTCGTTAGTGGACCCATGCAATCTCCACTTCATCGCCATACTTGTTTGAGGAGTGTGAATAATATGGAGGAAATTGATATGTGCTATATAGTTATAACGAACTGGTGGAGATGGATGATGTTGGCGTTGACGGGAAACTTTCCAGGATGCGCCACGTATTCTGCTTTCATCCAGAATCGCTGTTCTATTTTGAAGGCTGCCTGGCCTACACAATGATTCGAAGAGCCCAGTCGCTATAAGACTCTGTATTTTCATCCTTCTGAGCTGATACTCATTAAGCTACAGCGGAGGGTCAGAGATTTGAAAGAGATTTGATCCTTGGACCGGGCTCGTAGTAAGCAGCACCAGTTGTCGCTTCACTATCCCCTTTTTTTAGAAAAATGATCATGAAATAAAAAAAGTAGTTATCAAGTAAAAGTGAGCGATAAGGTGATGAACGCACTTGTAAGGTGTTCGAAGCTGCTTATGTGAGGATGAACAGCTCATTGCTTAACAGTCCTCCACACATGGCATATATGATACCATTCTGTTAGCCATCATCCACACTAGGATTTTCCGCGACCCGCTGGGCAATCACATGTGGGCTTCTTACGTTCTACCCTTTCCTCGGCTTTCCTTTCCCTGCTTTCGTTTCACAGTCATGCCTTTTTTTAGTGCCTCATCCCTTCGGACACGTATATAAAGTCAACGTAA